AGTGTTAACAGAGAGGCTACTGTGAGCAGCAGAAAGCCATGAGTGGGCCTGCCTTAGCTTTTAGCATATGTGACGTGTTAAGTGCAATATAAGCCGGGGAGTTCCAAGTGCTAAGGGAACAGGGCAGTGCTCTGATTCTGGGCACTGTAAATCTACTCTAGAGCATGCAGAAAGAACAGAAATTCTGGGTTCCTTGGAAGCCATGTCAAGTCCACATGAAGTGTCATCCATTTAATCTAATCGGCAACAATCCTTTCAACGAGCAGAAAGGGTCTATTTCAGAATCCAACAGGTAAATGAGGTTCAAGAATTCCACAGCTGATTCCTGAGGAGATCAGGTGGACTGTTTGCTGTTCTTCTGGCAGGAAGGTCTGCTGGTATTTACAGCTCACTGAACAGTAAGGAGGGAGAGAATACCATCCATCAGCAAAGGAGAGTTCATCTGCTACTTGATCTGATATTCTGTTTGCATTCACACTGTCTCCAGAGAGCAAGGTGCATCCATTTAAATACACATGGAGACAGGAAGGGGGTGGGGAGGAGCAGCCGAAGCGATGACTGCAGAAATAACAAGTGTACAAATCTAGAACAGTAGCCCTCAATAGAGCGCTGCCTCAACAGCGAACCCTTTGGGGATGTGTGGGACATGCCCTTTAGATGGCTGCACTTTTGACAGAGTAATGGCTCCAAGTTGCCATTCACCTCTACACAAGCCACTCAGTAGGTGCTGAGTAGTGGTGTGTTGAATGAACACAGGCTTGTCCTGAACCTAAGCCAAACAGTAAACACCCTAATTACAAGGTGAGGGTCACCTGGCAGGAGGACACCACCAGCTTTCGTCAGTAGGTGATGTCTTAAGACTGCCTTCCCTGACAGGCTGGGGTCTGTGGCTGGAATCTCCCACTGTAAGAGTTGGGATATTTGTATGAACAGCTCACCTCTTCACCAGGCAAATCCTTAAATTTGTTGTACAGGCAACCTTGGGAATGAATGCACACTCAGAGTGCTCCATTTTACTGTGTTCATTTATATAATGTCTACCAGCTAGCAAGTCATGCCTCACTGTCACCTTCGAACTGTCTTATCTTCCTAAAAATCCACTTCGTGCTCCAGCAACAGTTAGCCTGAATGCGACATCACAGAAAACTCAACACCTCAAATGAGGGCCAACTGTGGTACCCGTAGCAACTCCACAGTTCATTTTACATTTTCATCAGGTAGATGGTCCAAGCAGTTGTCACTATTTGTTCAGAACAGGAAGTCACTCAAAGTGATATTCTGTTTATTTCATATTTCATTAAGGGATTTCTATGTAAGGGTTTTAGTAATTAAAATAAGCACTTCCTTTTAAAATTCTGATTAGTCTTAATAGAAGGGTCCCTTTGATTGACTGCAAAAATGATGAAGCTGAATCACAGGTAAGGTCTTGACCTCCTAACAAGCAAAATTATTTAAAATGCCACACATACAAAAAAGTTATACTCATGGTATGTGTAAAATTATATTTCTGCTATCTCAATGATCGCTGTTTATTTTTTAGTGCTGAAATATTTTGGATAGTCTGACACAGCTCCCAAACACTAGTTCATAATCACATATACAAAGAAAAAAAACCTTAGCAAGCTATGTCCAAGTGAAATTTTTAATAAAGAATTAAGAATCAGGCTTTTAAAATGACAGTGTAATCTGTTAAGTTCATCTCTTAAATGGATGGATGCAAATTTCTCATTACAATATGTTTTAAGCAAAAGAATTTCAAAGGTCAGTCTCTCTGCAATGTTCCTAGGCTGATGTGGGTGTTAACACTGTTCTAAGCAGCATCTGCCAGCCAATCCTTTATCATGTAACTTCAGTTACTACAGGCATATATGGAAGCTTATTCCTTCTTCTAATCAGCAAGCTACATCATAGGTGAAAATATAGGCTAAATGGAATGGCTCTTTGCTCTTCTGGAGATGGTCTGGAGATGTGTGAATATCAGTACCCTTCCTCTCCAACCAACAGGCTGCCCATTTAAACCCCAGTCCTCATTAGGCTCACTCACAGAGAATTAGTTTCATCTGCCCATGTGAAATAAAACAGCATCCAAATTAAATGTATGGCCTGATAGGTTGGTCACCAATTGTATAACATGGGCAAGTCTGAAATTGCTTTCTGTAAATGCTGCCTGGATCGGCAGGCCCAGCCCCACTCACAGTACAATCCTCCTGACTCCAGTGACTCTCGGTCAAATGGGGATGGGGAAAATCATCTCTGCAAGGGAGGACTCAAAAGAATTTGTCACCATGATACAGTGACACCAATCCCACATTTTGTGGTTAATAAAACAAGTCCTGCAACCAGCTTGGCACAAGGCCCTGATCTATTTCAAGCCAAGCTAGAGGGCCCACAGGAAAAGCTGCCATTCATGAGTGCTTCAGGAGGACAGGATACCAGGGTCCCTTGCAGTAAAATTGGTATGAGCCAGAAATCATTCTGATTGACCTTTTGAGCACACCTAGCCTATTTCTTAAAGATTTGGTGTATTAAAAAAATTAATAGTTTTACCTGATATTTTTTCCCCCAAAGGTATTCTATGGACATGAGAGAAGAGAATTCAGGGAAAAAAGAAATGCTCAGATATCTCAAACATCAAACACTTGATTTCTCTCCCCTCAATTCAGTGTAACCAAATATGAGACTCACAAGACTTCCCTGGGAAAGTCTGCATACAGCCTTCACTTGATTTCCTGCCCCAGTAAATAACGAGGAATTTTCATTCTAAAATGGCACACCTATTTCCTTGGAGAGCTGGGTTGTCTTTGAGTAAAAAAAAAGGTGACTTACCCTTTGGGGGATTCGGTATTATTTTTAAACATCTTATTCAATCAACCTAATTTATGGGGCATGTTCGGAAAAAGCAGGTAAGGAGGTGCTTTGGCGAATGCAAAGTTAATTTGCAGACTCCAGCATACCACCCCCCAACTCCACGCCTCCGCGGGGCGTTTCCGAATGCCTTCGGCCTCCTCCGAAGAGGCTCGGCTCTCTCCGCTGTGGCTCAAACTCGGCTCCGAACACTGCCGAGTCTCTTCGAGCCGAGCGCCCAGCCCTCGACGAGACGAGCCGAGCGCCATCGAACTGAGCCCGATCGACTTTTCCGGCCTCGGCTGGGCGCTGTCCACCACTCTCAACGCCTGAAACCTCACCCAGTTCCAGTGGCCGGAGCTTCTACCAGGCTCCGAGCCCAACACTGCAGATTATAGACTTAACGAAGTTTTGAAACGTCCCCCTTGTGGAGAAAGCATTTACCGACCTGCAAGGGCTCCAGGCAAATGCAACATGCACCTTGTTGCAAAGAGCAATTCCCCAGGCCCCTCCTCCCCATCCATTTGGGTTGCACAAGCTCCAGAGAAGCCTTAGGCCAAATTACCCGTGGCTCAGAGGGGTGCGGCGAGCAGAAGGAACCTCTGCAATGAAAGCCCCAGGGACCTCTCGAACAAAAATAAGAACATGTTAAGCAGGCGAGGGAAATTGTCTCCGAGTCACTATTCCCTACCATCATGGCGCCGCCTAGAACCCGCTTGTCATGCCTGTTACACATGCAAGATTTTTTGCATCTTGGTTCCGAAACCGCAAGCCTGCTTCGTCTCCCACCCACCTTTCCGCGAAAAGAGGTTTTTATTTTCCATTGTTTTCCTGAGGGATGCAATTACTTCGGCTATTCTGTCAAGTTGAAAAATAATCATTTTTGTTTACTGCACAGCAACCCCTAATTAGGAGCTGTGTGTGCACGAAGGTGTCACAGCAAAGCGACGTGCAATGCTCGCTAAATGGCCTTAACGAACTCCTCCGTCCCGAACTGACAGGTCAACGGAAGCAGCAGGGCCAGGAGGCCCTGAGGGCGCATACCCCTTCACTGCAGGCCACCCCCACCCCAAGCAAAGCTGCCTGTGGGCTTACCAGAAACTGCCAAGTGGATGGGAGTGGGAAGGAGGGGCGAGGTTCCTTATTGAGAAAGTGTGGAAGGGAAGGAATATCCCATTTTGTTTTAATTTTCAACCATCACTCAAATCCACCCCCAGTTAATTAGGAGGGGAAACTGATATCTAAGGCAGAAGGGGGCGGCAGCAAGTGGGGCCTGAAATCCGCACTGTGGATACATTACATGGAACAAGGCCTATGCAGAGTGTAAATAAATACATAGATAAAGGCCACAGAGCAAACGAAAATTGTCAGTGTCAGGAGAGCAAACGCTGGGAAGGTGGGGGAAGAAGGGGGGCAGTAGGGATGGGCATTCAGTCTCACAACCAGTGTCCCCCTTCCACCTCTGCCTTGGATACAGCTGTGCCAGTTACATCCATTTGGAAAACCACCCATTCTTACCACATGCCCCTTCTCAAAACCCTCGCCCTTTTTTTTTTTTTTTTGGTCGGGGGTGGGAGGAGGAGGGCAGAAACACAGCCTCCAATTCAGCACTAAATCCATGAACAGCAGACACTTGATCCTCCACCCCAGTCTAGGGCTGGGTCCCCTCCATGTTTTAGCCAAGTTCAAAATCACTGCCCCAGAAGAAGGGCAGGGGGAGGTGAATTACGGATGTGGAAGGAGGAGGAGAGAGAGGGAGGGATAAAATGCAACAGAGACAAACCGAAATGGAGACAGTAATACACACGAAATACCCAACGGGCAAGAGTAATGATCATAATCATGCCAATAGTGTGATGTTTTGATCAATATGGCGGACACTGTCATTCATACAACTACAGGCGCTCCCCTCCCCCCCGCCCCGCAATAAAAAAAGCACCCACCACGGGAGTTGGGGTGGAGGACCCAGAACCAACGTAGGCCGTGGGGGAGGGGGGTCAAGTCCAGGTCTGTGTGTGTGTGTGTGTGTGCGCGCGCGCGCGTGCGTGCACGAATTAAAAACGGGCCTGGAGAGCAATGTGGAGTGAGCAAGGTAACACAAATGATAAAAAATTATTCTTAATAAAAGTACAAATTCCAATGCCACAGGGACTTACTTCATTTGCTTCACAATGGTGCTTTTTCCTGATTCTCCAGCCCCTGTTGGGACAGACAGGGGGGAAAAACTGGTGAGTGTCAGTTTAGGGGAATAGAGGGAGCAGGGGACTAAGGCATGCAAGGGGGTGGGCGATCCTAGGCACAAGCTGGTGCCAACTGGGGATCAGGTTGCCACGGGCGCGAGAGGGGTGAGGTTGCTGGAGAAGGTGGGTACGGAGGGGCCAGGGTCGGGGAAAAAGGGGAGCAGCCCCGATCCTTACCCAGTAGGAGTAATTTCACGTCTTTGGCGGCGCTGATGCCATCCTCTTTGAGGTTTTTCTCAATCGCCTTGCTCCGCTCGAGGGCGGCTCTCTCCTCTGCGCTCAGAGTACATCCCATGGTGGCCCCTTCCCTGCCACAGCCCGCACGACTCGGCTGGCACGGCTCCCCGGCTCGGCGCGCCCCCCACCCCCCCAAAGAGCAGAGCCTGGGCTCGAAGGGGAAAAAATCACGATATCTTCCTCTTGGCTTAAAACAAAAATGTCGGTGAACCAGAGCCCCCCCAAAAGACAGCCGCTAACGAGATTCCAGCAGCTGAGGCTCGCGGCAGCTAGCGGGGCTCTGGGGGTGTCGAGGCGAGGGCGGCCGGAGTATGGGGCTTCGGAGCCGAGGGAAGAGGTGCCCGCGGTCCGAGGAGTCGCAGGCTGCAGGCACTGAGGCTTGTGCACGACCCAAAATAAATAAAATAATAGTCGAGGCAGGAGCCGCAGCCGGAGCCGGCGGAGGGTGGGGTACGGAGAGAGTGAGTTAGGGGCGCTGCTAGAGCAAGTGCATCGCGGGTCCTCCGCCGTCGGTGCGTCCGCGGCGCCTTCACCGACCCCCGCGCGCAAGGCAGGGCTGGGCAGGGGGCCGGGCCGGGGGGCAGGTCTCTAGCGGGAGGCGGTGTCGCTCGCTCCCAGAGTTCGCATCGCACGGTGGAGCCTACGGGAGAGAGAGGGAGAGCGCGAGGGAGCCGCGAGCAGCCGGGAGCTCGAGTGGGGGGAGAGAGAGGGAGAGAGGCTGGGAGGGAGGGGGGAAAAAAATGAAGCGAGAGCCAGCCAGCGAGAGCGCGCGCCACAGCCCGGGCGGGGGAGCGGGAGAGCGTAGCGCGCCGAGTGCGCCAGCGGCTCTGCGCACCCTGCACCGCCGACCGCTCGCTGACGTCAGCAGGGCCGCGCGCTGGGCCCCCGGGGCGGGGAGAGGCGGGGAGGGGGGCGGTGCGCGCGCCCGGATTCGCGGCAGCCGGCGGGGGCGCGAGCGCAGCGCGGCCTCCCCTCCCCAGAGCGCGCATCCGCGGCTTCCCGGCGTGGGTGCGTGCGGGGCGCGGTGGGGGCCTGGCGAGGGCGGGGTCTGGGGCCGGTCGCGCGCCGGGGTGCCCCTCCCCGCCCCTGCCCCCGCGCAGCGCGCGGGCTGCGCGCCTCCTTGTCAATGGAAGCGCGGGATGGGCTGCCCGCGCAGTCATCAGGTGGGTCCCCCAGCCCGGGCTTCGCGCCGCCTCTTGAGCTCGCCGGCCCGCACTCCATCTTGGGTCCAGCCTCTCGCCTTCTCGGTTGCTCGCCTGCAGCTGGGGCCGTAGCAGCCGAGGCCAAGTGACCTCAGCAAACGCGAGGAGACTGTGGGTCTGAGTAAAACCTACGTTTTCGGTATCAGCCTCGGACCTGGAGGCAGATTCGGAGTTTTCGCTTCCTGTATCCCACAAGCATTTATTGAGCACCTAGTATGTAAGAGAGGACGCTGTGAGTAGAGGAACCCAGAAATGGTGGACCAAGCCAGGGCCTGCTCTCAAGGAGCCTCAGCCCTCCCTTGCCGACGCGCACTGCTCCAAGATTCCCGGCCTTAGGTATTAGCGCAGGAGACAGTCCCAGGCTTTTGGAGGGGAGGGACAGGTTTTCAGGCTGCTTTGAACTTCTACACTTACTCCCTCAACACAACTAAGCGTTTTTGCAACTAGTCGTTCCACTGAATTCTCTTGTCCTGGCCTTTTCCCCAAACAAAAATACATACAATAAGTTTTGAATAGATTTTTAGTTAGAGAACCGATTTCCTTCCTTTTTTCATTTTTTATAACGCTTTTTCTTCATCTGTTTTTTAAACAAGACCCAGAAATCCCGGTCAGTTACTCAGTGTACTGCTAATCAAATACTGAGGAAACATGCACATATTGCCAAAGATCAGGCATGTTTCTGGGTGGTCTCCGAGATTTTAAAGAAATTAGTTCTCACTGCACAAAGTGGTTTTACAATCAGTTCCAGCAGACAGCCCCAGGGGCCCTCCTAGAGAAAGGGGCCAATAGGAAAGGTTGTATGGGGATAGGAGAGGCAAGCGGCCAGGAGAAAATGCTTTTCCTAACAGTTGGGCATTTCTGTGGCTCTGAAAGCAAACTTGTTTCAACAATAGAAAAAAAACATCCGTGTTTTGGAAATTTAACCCAGCATAAAAATACATTTGCAATGGGGGGATGAAAAAACAGTAAAGGCCCACCCAGAAGAAAACTTACTTATTTTTTTCCCTGGAGTTTTAAAAATGTATTTCCCAGTATGGGTTTGTCTCATTCTGCAAATAGCTATGTCAAAAGTTGTATGTAACATAGTTTGAGTATTTAAATTTGAATCACATTTACCTATTCTAGGAAACCGATAAAGGACTCAAATAATTGTTTAATAAAGTAAATAACTTCTTCCCTACCTCCCCCACCCCACCCCATTCACCTTTTGTGTGTGTGTTGAGTAGGGGAGCTTAGGGGATAAATCTGGTTTGCTTAAAATCAGGGTGTCACTAAAAATCAGCCTTCCAGATTCAAAACAGAGCTTAGGTGTCCAATATTCTTACAGAATTTATTTCTTCTAAAGGTTGCTGGAATGATTAATGCAGGTCTATCAGATACAGGGGAAAAAAATTCAGCTACCCAGATTCTGCTATCCCTACAAGACTGAAGACAGACTGCAAGAGTAAAGAGGTAAGAATATAACCATTTATTTGCAGATGGTGGGTCATACTTTACATTTTAATGCTCCTCATATCAAAATTTTAAATTTAAGATCTTAGGCTCTTGGGGGCATTGCGGCTTGTATGGTTGAATCAAACTATCCTTGATTTTACAGATAATTTATTCCTTCTTAGTATCATGTATGGTGGAGGCACAAAACTGTGTTTTGTACTTTTCTCTGCTCACTTAGTACATATTAAGCACCTATTTACCATGAAGGGGTGGGGTAATGTTCTAGGCACTATAGATATTGTATTTCAGGTTTGTCTATTCTGTTTTCTCTTTCTGGGTTACTTTGCATCTTTATAGCTGGGCTTCATGGAGGACTAATAATAATCTGCTTCATCTGTATGGTACTTTAGAGTTTATGGAGCACTTTTATGAAAATTATCTCATGTGATCCTGACACATAAACCCCAGTTAGGCATTGTGAGGGGAACATCATGGCTGAGTGGAAAGAGTCGGGACCATGAATCCGAATCAGCCTGGGTACCCATTTTACAACTGAGAAAACTGAGCCTCTAAGGATTTGAACAACTTGATCGAGGACATGCAGTCATTAAGTAATAAACCAGGGTTCATTTTACAGGTTTGTAGACTATTTGAGAAATGGCATATTGTATAAATATATGAAGTGTCCTTCCCAAACTCACAGAAAGCTCACAGCCCCAGAACCTAATGGTATCCTGGTCCCCGACAAAGGAAGTGAGGATGAGAGCATATGAGTCTTCTGTGAGTTATTAGTAATTAGATAATACCATAATTACTTAATTTTTCTACAGTTAATTCCTGTGGGAATGGGGAAATTACAATCCAGCATCGAGAGTGATCATGGACAGATTTCATTTGGTTTTATTTCTTACGAGCCACAGAATTATATTTCTCTGATTATTGCTGTTGGACAGAGAATGTTGCTCATTTACTCCATCCTCAGTCCACATTCCCGCTTGCCATACACAGTGTTCAGCATATTTTTAATTTTATAAATAGGTAATTAGAATGTTATATATACTCTCTAAAAGGAACAACAGTGAAAGACTGCATTAAATTGCTTTTTTACTACATATGGCTCCTAATTCTGGAGGACAGTGCTTTTAGGTATATGCATGATCTCCCAGTTCTGCCATACAAAATGAGGGCTCTAATCAGATGAACTGAATTTCCTTATTTTCTCCCTTTTGTGATCACTTTAATTAAATATGCATGTATTGACAATCTACTGTGTTTAATATATTGATTTAGACTCAAAGGGAGGTTTAGATATGAGCTTGAATTCGTGAAATATTGAAAACCCTGGAATGTTTTCTCAAAGCCATTCATGTCAGAATCAACCGGGGTGATTGTTAAAAATTCAGTTACCCATCTTTATTTCTACCAAGTCACTCTTCTGTAGCCTCCGTTGATAGCCACTCCCCAAGTGATTTTTCTGTATACGCTGTGCTAAGTCTTACACAGAATCTGTATGTGCTAATTAATTCTGCTAGAAGCTTACTTTCTTAGAGTCCAAATATTTCACATATTTCTGAATTCAACTTTTCTTTGTTGACTAGTTTTTTGTATTTCTGTCAAATGAAAAAACTATGAAAATTACTATTCCTTATTAGCATAACTGTCAGAGAAAGAAAATAGGCTAAAATGTGTGGTTCACGAGCTAAGTAAAGCCAAACTAATGGCAAGTGAGTTAGGCACTTTAGGGAGAATGGTAGATCACTAGAGATCTTGGGTTTCTGCACTAAAGGGTTATAATACCTCACAGTCTTAAGTGGTAAATGTAATTTAGAAGAATGTAAGGATGACTTAGTGTTTTCTGATAAATATCTGGTATTGACAGAAGATGCTGATCAACATTTTTTTTATGTCCCTAAAATACAGGCTTCCTATTCAGCCCCTATTCAGCACTTCTCTCACTCATATTATTTTGTGCACATCTCCCAGACCTCCCAGAGAAGTTCTCAGATGTTATTGTGCATAAGAATCACCTGGGATGCTTTTTGAACTGGATTCCTGGGTCCCATTCCTAGAATTTCTGAATCAGTAAGTCTGAGGTGGAGCCCATTTATAATTATACCTTTTCCCTCAGGTGATGCTGGTGCAGTTTGAGAAATACATCACTGGACTGTAAACTTTGAGGTGAGGCTGTTGTCTTATCACTTTGTTTATAGCCCCAAAGATTGAGTATGACTCACTGCCTGTAGGTCATCCATTTTGATACTTGTAAACTGAATTCATCTGTCCACAGGCAAGGGCTAAATCAGATTCTTTATCAAGGTTTTTCCCAGATAATAAAACCTTTTCATTTTCCTAATAGAAATTTTGTGACTTGATGATTCTATAAATATAAGTTTTAAGATAGGGTGAGTTCAAAAAGGTAGTAGTTTGTTTTCAAGTAAGGTTCTGAAAAATGAAATGATATGGATTCTAAACAAACCCATGTGAAGTTTATTGGTGTTTAGAAGCTGGTGAGAAGAGTGTATGCCAAATGTTTTTGAAGTTCCCATCAGAAAATTCTTTGCTGAATGTTGTGTCTCATTAGTTATTTGCAGAGTTCATGGGAAAAAAAAGTTTATTTATAATTGTTGGGAATAAAGATGCCATGGGAAGAAATAAAGGTTTTGTGTATTTTTAAATGAAGAGACTTGCATGAAGGAGCAGATTAAGGCTTGTAGGTAATTGAAGAGAGCTCTTAAGTTATTGAAGTCCATTATGTGGTCATTCTTGAGAATGTTGTTTGATGTGTACTTTGATGGTTCAAGAACCCCCAAAGAGGGTGTGCTTTGTGATTTTTCTCAATTTAGGACAGCAGGAAAGTCCCACAGGAATGCATTTGGCTTGAATTGAATGGCAAGTTGGAGGGGCCTAGGACCAGTGCTTTCATGTTGATTAGCTTGACCAAGGGCTGAAATTAAAGTTGGAAGTTTAGTTTAATAAGAAGGTATCTCTGTTGGAATTTTCTTGGAAAATCTTTCATCAGAAACCAAGATTCTTATTTGTTATGACAGGAATTATAGTACCTTTCAGTCTTCCTGGGCTGGAGCTGACAGATAAGATGAGCAGGTACATGTCTGTAAAATGTTTATTTAATATTTAATAAGTCCTCTAGAAGACAAGAGGTTTCCTGACAGAAAAGTTTCTTGCATTATTGATCGTATTTTTTATCTCCATAGAGCCTTTCATACATGCAGTTCAAATACATTTTAGACATTATCTCATTAGTCTTCTTTATGCTTAAAGGTCCAAAGTCATCTTACTGCATTGTTCTTTACAGATAGAAAAGTTTTTGTTTATTCCTGTCAGTTGTATTTGTGAAAGCAAAAAGTAGGTGAATTTTGTCTGAATCTGGTTAAAAAACCAGTTTGAATTGGCTATAATAAATGGGACTTGGGGGAGGGTGACACTATCAATTTGGATTTATTAGAAGTGGGTTAAGGGTGTTTGGCCAGACTGGACTGATTTAATTCTGTGACCTGTCTGCATCCTCTAAAGCACATGTGACTTGGGGTGTTCTCCAAAGCTGTCAAATACCAAGAACATGGCATTCCAGTGTAACATGGTTCTTCAGTTGTGTTGACATTTAGGTATGTCATCTATTCCCCAAAGGCCCGCAAAATCCTGACTCCTGTGGCAGAGAAAAACATTTTAATAAAATTCCTATGTGTGTGATGGAGCACAGCTATAAAACTGAAGAAGGGCAATTCGGAAAGAGCTGCATTTTCAGCCAGAAACCTATCACATAGGACTTTCAGCTAGACTCATTCAGAGCTTGAAGTAGAAGGAGAAGAACTGAGCTGATTTTCCTTTCAAGCTATCCCTATAGTTTGTTGTCTTTCCTCGATGGCCACTGGAGCCTTTGGAGAGGGCTAAGAGGAAAGAAAAAGGTGGAGGGAGGATGCTGAATTAGGTACATCCGATATAAATTAAAAACAGTTCTGTTCCTAATGACCAAAGAAAGTACATACAGAGATTGCAATAAAAACGCTGAAGGTCATGGCCCCAAAATGACTGAAATGAATGATGTGGATGCCCGAAGGCAATCTTAAAAAACCAATCTGTGGTAGGATCCTGGGTTAAGAGTTGGGATGAATGGGGCAGGGAAAGCCAAAGGGTAGATTTGGGGATTGGTCAATTTGATCATACTTTCTTTGACTCCACCACCTCTGCTTCTGTTCTAGAAAAGAAGTGACCCCAATCATTCATTCTTTCTTCTCTTTTGCACTCCCCAACCCCTACTCAGCTTTTATACTTGACTTTGTCCCCCATAAAAATTTCTCCAACAAAAAAATGATAAGAATGATATTTTCCCTATCATTGCCTTCATTTATTTTAACTTTTTTAACTTTAAAAAATTGAAATATAGCTGATATACAATATAATGTTAGTTTCAGATCTATAACAGTGATTCAACAATTATATACATTACTAAATGCTCACCATGATATATGTAGTGGCTGTCAACATACAAAGATATTATAATATTATTGACTATATTTCCTATACTGTACTTTCATCCCCTTGCTTTCATTTATTTAATATATATTCATTGTGTATTTACTCTATGTAGGACTCTGTACTAGGTGCTGGGAATATACTATTAAATACAACACACACAGTCCCCTGCCATCACAGTGCCTATAGTCTCTGGGCTTTGAATTACGGCACTCTCTCACACATTACTTGATTTGATATTTTTAATGACCCTTTGAAATAGCCAAGATTTCTATTTACATTATATGCATAATAAAATTAAGTTTAGAGAAATTTGAGTGATTTACCTCAGATCACATAGCTGATCAATACTGTAATTAAGACAGTCACGTAATTTTATGAATTCCAACACAGTGGTCTTTCTGCCACATGTCACTTCCCTAAGATCCGAGGTTCAAAGATATAATATTTAAGCTGTTCTTTTAAATAGCACCTAGACCAATTGTATCATTCATATTTTGGTTAACTTTTACTATACTCAATAATCCTTCCCCGTTAGCAGATATTATTGATCATCATAAATGAACTTTATCCAAGCAATTCATGATCTCATGATATTTATTTCAATAAATTATTCCTAGCACTTAATACAGACTAGATTATTTTTATTGTGCATAATTATCAGACTATTTTCCATGTTTTGCAGCAATCCCTCCCTCATAAAGATAATAAACAGAAATTGGGAGTAGATCATATACAACTATTAGAGGAAAATATTGGAAAACTTAATCCCAATAGATTTGGACAAATAATAAATGAAAGTAATTTTCAAAACTAAAAGGAAGTAATGTCAAGAAAGGCAGCAGAGCGAAAAGAACACTGGCCTGGAAATCAAGAGACAGAATTTCCAGTCTTGGTTTAGCCAACTTTGGGAAATTCAATTCTCTTTCCAGGCTTCAATTCCCTCAATTAAGGAATTAAATTTTAGGTACCTTCTGTATTCTATATCCATTATTTTAAATCTGAGTTAAGTGGACAGTGATCCTGGAGAGACTGCGGAAGGCAGAGTAATGCGCCCCCTCCATAGTGCAAAGCAAGAAAAATGTTACATATCCACTGAACCCTTGAATTGGAGTCCATCTGTTCCACTATTGAAATGATTCCCCTTTTCCTCCCTTCAGATCGAGAATGAATCTTTCATGCTTTTTATGGCATTAGCTTTAGAAATATAATACCTTTCTAAACAAAACAAGCCAAGGCTTATAATGTAATTTTGATTTTTCAGCTTAGAAATGACAATACCCTGCAAATTTTTAAGGCCCATCGTGAAAGGTTTTCTCCCGATTGCCTTGTATCCCTTTCAGCACAACAGGCAGATAATGGCTCATAATCACCATCCAATTGATTTTGAGAGTATTTCTTTATGGGTGAATAGAATGAGTGGGCGAACATCCCACAGGGCTAGGGAAAGATAGCCAAGGGGGTGCATAGATCCAGGAGTGAGACAGCCAAAGGGGCAGATGAGCTTGACAAAGGGTCAGCCTTCCCTTAACAGTCTGTTAGATGTGCTCAGTTCTGCCCTTGAGATTTTCTCTGGCATTGGCTGTTAACAGTTCTCCCAATTCTTCATTTCCTATACTCCTAGAAGAATGGTGTATACCAGGTTAGTAATCACTTGGTTAGTGATTACTAGTTGCTCCCTGCCTGCTTTCTGAAAGTGTTTGTTGAGGGAATACAGGAATTCAACATTTGCTTCCACAACCTTAGAGATACCAGTCTAAGCATGAAAGAACCAAGGGTTTATGAGTTTATCCAATGGTGGGCTAAAAATTCAAAATTTTCTTTTATTACAAAAGTAATCTGCTATTTAAAAAAAGAATTGAACACCTTGGTTTTCTACCCTAAAGTGACTAGGCTGTGACATTTCAGAATTTCTTGGGGGCAAAGACAATTTGCTGTTGGCTCTAGAATCCAGTTGCCCCTTACTCCCCTCAGGGAGATATTCTATTTAGGAATCAGCCTTCTTCACAGCTAGCTGTCATGGTATAACTACTGACAGAAACCACTGTCACCCCTGTGACAACATCCTGAGGCTTATGTCTGAAATAGAATTCAAGGGCGGGGGGGAAGTTGGATCAGGATCAGATAGGTACTTTTCAGTCCTGCAGCAGGCTAACCCTTGTAACAGGACCTGTATTGATCCAGGCCATGAACAAGGAAATCCAAGAGTTCCCAGATTTGCTTCTTGGTGACTAAGCACCAAATCAGTCTCTGCTGGTCCTCTGAGCTAACTCTTGTCCTAGTGAGTACCTCTCACCTTGGTTCTTGTGACTGGTTCCAGTAATAGACTTCTTTTCTAGTAATAGGTTTCTGGTCATAGGTTCTCTTGAATCTGAGTCTGACTCTGTTTTAGGATTGGAGTTCTATTTGATCCCTCAACCTCATGGAAATTGGAACTCATTCTTTAAACCTAAGTCTGCATGACTAGATCCTTCCTGTAAGCTATTATAGCTCTGATGGCCATCATCTTTCTGTTTGAAACTTTACCCATCATCGACTCTATCAAACTAAAAAGCTTCTTTACAGCAAAGGACACCATCAGCAGAACAAAAACACAACCTGTAGTATGGGAGAATATATTCATAGATGATTTTTTTGAAAAAGGGGTTGATGTCAAAATTATATAAATAACTCATGCCTCAACACCA